GCAGCCATCAGGAGAGCAAGCGGCTCCCCTGGGCTCTGCGCAGCCGGGCTGCACCGTGCACGCGCCGAGCACGGCAGCGCTGCGCCCGGAGCTGCACAACGGGCTCCAAATCCGCCCGCTCCCACCTGCAAAACCCACAGAAGGACCACAGCCACGCTGGGGCTGCAACCAGCTGCTAATCCGGGTCCTTGGAGGACTGATATTGTAACAGAGGGACAATACGGGCATTTAGACCTTGGGGAAAATCAATATGAAATTCACACGGATTATTTCTTAAGACTTGGAAAAATCTGCCATTGGTTGAGCCTAACTATATATTAAGCCAGCTCCCAGTTCTAGGCAGATGTCAGGGGAATTGAGATGAGCTCAGCCACATGGCCTCAGTGGACTTCAGCCTCTAATTACTTTAAAGGAGCATTAACACAGCCACGTGGTCCATGGAAAAGGAGTATTTTCCTGGGAGAAAAAGATTTGCAGTCCCTCTCTCAGGACAAGAAAAGGTACGCCATCTCACCCTGAGATCTCCTCTGCATCACACAAAGCTTCTGCAGTGCAACAGCCAGACAAAAAAAGGACTGGAAAGCCAAACGTGAGCCACGGCTTTTACAATTGTTCCTTGCAAGAGCACACACTCAAGAATTAGGGCTCCAAGGTCTGAGCGAGCAGAGCAAAAGCATCCCCCCCCCCAAGAGCCCCCCAAGCATCTGTAGTTACAAAGCACCAAGCGACCGAGCGCAAGCAGCACCAGGATGTGCCAGAGCAACTCCCCAGCAACGAATTTCTCCATTACTAAAGCAGACAGCTCAGAATTCTGCCAAATCACACATCACAGGTAAGCCCATGGTCAGCCTCACCCGAATCCCGTTATCAGCCCTCAGCGACCAGCGGGACGTTTGTAAGGGTGAGAAAAGCCTGGCCCGCGTTTGCAGCTTGCGATAGCCGCTGGCTCCAGACTCCCCAAAGCACACGGTTATCTGCTTTTGGCTCCTTCTTTCCTCTTGCTTGTTTTGCCTCTGGAGCCAGCTTTTTCCTAACACTACAAAAACGATAATGCTGTTTTTTTGGTGTCCCCCTCCGTTTACGAAGGCGATGGGAGTGTGGTTTTGTGAATTCCATCTGTTTCATTAAGAAGTGTTTATTGTTCCAGATGAGTGCGGCACTCAGGTTTTCTTATGGTTCCAATTTGCTTTTTAGGACTCTGGCTTTTGTCCAGAGAAGTGATTTTAGACTCTAATTTCCAGTAGCTTTTTTCCTACCACACTTATGCTCGGAGAAGAAAGCTGGGTGGATAAAGAGCAACACAGCTAAGCCAAACAATCACCCCTGCCAGCCTGGGCAGGAAAGCAGCAGTTTAAAATCTTTCCACTCACACGCGTAATTTACCGAACACACGACCTGCTTGTCTGTCGGCATTTCTGACCTCCCGAGCCTGTCTCAAACCGGAGCATCCACTCCATCGTACAGCCAGGCTGGTGGCCGGCAGCACGGATGCTCTGCAGAACACAACCTCTCCCCCACCCAAAGCCCATTCCTTCCTTCAAGGAAGGCGGCCGGGACGACAGCTTTACTTTGAGAGGACGAGAGCCAGCTTCACGAAGAGCTAAAGGACTTGGTCACATCTAAGGACGGAAGGAGCCCAAGAACCGCCATCCCGCTGACTCGCGGAGCTGCACGCTGCGCTTCTGACCCGCACGCCCAAGGTGTGATGCTGCACAGCTCCATTAGAAGGATGTGGGGCTCCTTAATTAACCAGACCTCACTGCTCCCTCAAACAGATAGAGGCCCAGCTCCCTCCTCCGCGTCGGTGCCAAACGCTCCCTCCCAAACGCTTCCTATGGAATATTCCGTGTAGGTTGCAGAACTCCATCCAAAACGCCTCCAAACTTTACCTTGCTCAGGGGCCCCACGCAATCTAGTTCCAGAGGCTGTAAAGCAGTGTCCTCCCCTAATCTCCAGCTGCTCATGTTCCCAACGTTGTGCCCTCGCAGCTACACCAGCGATCTCAAAAGCCCGCACAGAAACGACACAAGTGCCCCCCACGGCATTCCAGCCCGCGGGCTCTGCTCCCAGGCTCTACAGACGCGCGCAGAGCGAGCCTTTCCTTCATTACAGCGAGGAAATCGCTCCTTCTTTAGGTACGAACTCAAAAAGAACATGTTCTCACGAGGAGAGAACCGATTTTCCAGCGTTCCTAGCAGCGCCCAACACCGTTTAGTTTGCTATTGGTGCGTGAACACCATGAAGCCAGCGGGAGCACAGCAATGCCATGGGACAGGTTTGTTTGGCAACTGCTGGGGGAAAGAGAGTGAAAAGCAGCACGGGAGCACGTGGCAGGGCCACTGGGTAAACTACTCAAGACCAGCTCAGAAAGGATGCCACCTCATTTGGAGGAAACTTTACCTTCTTCCCACCTGTACAACTGAGACCACCACAAGTAAAACCATTGCTGAAATTTTAGACAATTGCAAGGGGCCAAAACCCAAGAATAAAACCACATTCGGTCTTGTTTGGGTCAGGCATGCTTTACACGTTGGTCAGTATTCTGGGGTCACCATTTCACACCAGTAATGTAATCTTTTCCTCCGCTCTGGAGGGGGCTCACGCGCAGCTGCTCCCCATCGCAGAAAGAGGCTTTGGAGGTAGCAACAAAAGATGCTCCAAGACTGCGGTGGCACCTTTTCCTCAGGACATATCAGGAAATTCTCAGTGTTGACACCCCTTTCCACTGATCACACAAGAAGTGTAACAGAGCCCCCCCAAGGAGACCCAAAAATTATCAATGAGAGGCCACCAGGACCCCCCACCCGAAAAGCCGGCTCCCACTGGAAGGCAGTTTTTGATTTTATTTGGTTGCTTCCTTAAAGCAGAAGCACTGAGGCGTTAAGGCACTGGCAGTTCCCTCGCCAAAGCTACCGAGAGGGGAAATGCCTGGCACACGCAGAGGGGAGTGGGAGCGCACGCTGAAACACATCCACCCTTGGCTCTGCGCTTCCCCATCCCTTCCAGCTCTAAGATCTGCTCGGGTACAGATGAGCTCAAACAGTCACACAAGCGTGGAGTGTGCCCAGGCCTGCTGCTAAGATAAGAAACCCTTGCAAAAAAGGGGTACTTTAAAAACAGCCAGGTAACTTCTAAAGATTCCTGTTGATCCCATAGTTCTTCACTTTTTGGCATCAAATGCTGCCTGTGATGTTTCAAGTGATTATTTTGATTTGAACTCCACTGCGGATCTAAACTTTGAACTGAAATATCTCCTCTGCCTCCCCCACAGCAGGCTGCAGGTGAACCAAGGGGTTAATAGACTTTGCATACCATCATCGCTGGTGTGGTGTTCGGCCGTAACGTCCTGAACCGAGTCTTCTGTCGAGGCTCTCTCTCCGTGAGGACTTTCGCTGCAACAGAAGGGAACAGAGACAAAGTTCCCATTTGATCAAGCAAACCAAACACCTTCGTTAACCTTCCTGTATGCTATCAGGGAAGTCCAACTGCAGATCCTATACCCCAGACCTCTGGAGATGTTCAGAAGGCAGATCGCAGCAGCACGTTGGGTCTCGCTCCTTCTGCCATGCCAGAACGATTCCCTCAGCTGCATTCTCCACCGCTCTAATTAGCTCATTAGATGACTGATGAGATAGCTGCCACTTCCTGGGGGAAATGATCTCTCCATTCATAATGCTATTTCCAGGTCTGAGTTTGTCATCTCCCCCCTTCCCTTTCATCACACCCTTAAATTGTCCCATTCATTCCACCAAACGACTCGCACAGCCCGAGTGCCTGGAATCCTTATTTACAGAGCACCTGGACCGCCGAGGCACATCATTGCTGCTCTGCATGAAGAAAAGCTTCGAAAGGATCAACAGACAACAAGCAGCAACCAAAGGTAACGTTTTTTGGAAGAAGCTTCACAGACAGGAGCAGAAAGGAAACTGAAGGGGATCCGCTGCCGCTCCCAGGCAGCCCCACAGCCCTGCCGCCTGCCCCGGCTGCTGGGTTAGGAGAAAAGTGCTCACTCCTCATCCTAGCAGGCGCTGTTGCTAGAGACAAAATGCGTCTGCTGCACTTTTATACTGCAACTCGTTAAAGGTGGTTTGTTTTTTTTTTTTAATTCTCTGCACCCAGTAATAACTTTGTCCCTTGTTCTGGCCGTGCAATGGTTAAAGCGAGTGATCACCGAGGTGAAGTGCTCTCCCTTTGGTGATCTACCTCTAATACTCCTTTAAAAGGGAGAAAAAAAAAGAGAAAGGAGAAGGCGTCAAATGTTTGGATAATTCTGGCCTCTCATTATGCTTAATCCACATGACACGAACCTGCCCCACCACCTTCTGAGTCAGTGCCTCAGGAATCAGCCTCTCCCATCCTCTGCAAAGCCCTTCTGCTACTTCATAAAGTTTACAGAAGAACCTGAAGCCAAACGGAGGTCCCCAGGAGGGACCCGGCATCGAGGGCTAAGGTTTCACGCAGACTGTGAAGTCATGTCGCGTCCAGCCAACGCTGCAGATCCAAACTCTGCACAAAGCCCACGCGCCTCCTCCTCGCCGTGCCTCCAGCAGCGCTTTCCACCAAAAACCCCGTCCCTGCTGTGGGCTCGGCCGAAGTCACGCGAGCTCCCTGCTGTGGGCTCGGCCGAGGTCCCGCGAGCCCCGGGATGCTGCCGTGGTTAGCGCGAGGCTGCTGGGCTTCACCCCGAGGGCTCTGAAAGCGCAGGATATACACGGCCAGGGGAATGCAGGGCGA